GCCCAGAAGAAAGAAGGGGCTTGTTTCCAGACCAAGTACAAATCATTCAAACCACCTGCTCACCTACCTAGAGGTCAAGTGGTGTAGACCAGCCAGCTAATCAGCCCAAAAATACTTTACAATGGCAGTACAAGTAAAAAGTTGATGAGTCACTACCCTTCAGATGCATTTGGGCAAAATCAATACTTCAGGCAGCCATGCCAAATTGTCTATAAAAGGAGGAAGAAAAATAAGAGACAAGGACACTCAATCAAACAAACAAATACAAGCACAAACTCTGCTAAAACCAGATTTGCCTTCACGAAGCTGTAGTCAACCCTCAAGCCTTCATCCATTTCGAGATCAACCTTAATAGAAAGCCTTTGTAAAAGATTTGTACCTTGTTTAAATCTTGTTGTAGTATCGATTCCCTCATATAAACTCATCTCCCAATCTACCCTTCTAGCATTCAAACCTTTTGTAAATCACAAAGAGAGGAAGTTCCAAGACGATTAACCTTGCCCGACCTCCTTTGTTTTTGTCTTTCCTTGATGAATCTAGTAATATGATGTATATTTCCATCTGCATCCAAGTTGTTTCTAGCCAGTTTATGATTAAAAGACTTCTAAGTTCTAACCATTCGGGCAGACGAGATTGATCAATTAAAAGTCCTTGGTCTCAAGGCATAAAAAAGAGCCTTAAAGCCTATACCTAAGGCCCGACAAAGGCACCTATCTGAATTCATTCTGCTCTGCGGGCTTGGGCAATTAAAGTATAACGGTTGTGATACTTCTACAACAATGAAACAACCAATATATGTTCAAGTATTTGGTTAGTTTTGATTGGAAGCCTCAAGACCTAAACCAAAGGCCCCACAAATGCACCTTTCATTACTAAACTTGGGCATATTTACCCAAACTAAACCTCTGTTTTACATCTGTCATGCTAAAGATAGTGGTGGCTTGCCTGAACACCTAAAGGTTAATTTTGATTGTGAGCCTCAAGGCCTACACCTAAGGCCTCACAAAGGCAACTTTCATGATTAACTTTGTCCCTTCTCTTACAACCCGACAGGCAACATCAACCGGCCCCAACCTTTGGGGGAGCTGTGTGCTCGTTGGCCAGGAAACGTCCTCACTGGATATTCCTCAAGACAAACATAGTTTTGGCACGCCCGGTGGGATATCCTTGATCGAATCCTAATTTCCAAAGAGATATGTCAAAGCTACCTGAAGATTTGCAAACTACCTTGCTGCAGATGTTTCAAAGATTGCAAAATGCCTCCACAGGCTTCAAAAAGAAGACAGACCTAGTTATGAATCCAATTATTCCCATATCTTTATCTCTAGTCAGGGAGAAAGATGATGGGGAAGAAGAAAGAGAAAAACTGAATGCGAGCCAGCTAGATGAAGAGATGACCTTGGCAAAGTATGCAGATCCCTTTTCAGATGCCCCAGTTAACATGGTTAATCTAGCATGGGCCGAGAAGGGAAAAGGAAAAGTTGCAGAAGAAACAGAAGAAGGAAGGCCAAAGGACAAATCCACAAAAGGGGTGATCAAATTGCCCGAACATCCAAAAGCAGCCATAATCAGAGGGATGGTTCTGTGCAATAGATGCCAATGCAAGTGTGAGCTCAAAGTACCGCCAGCAGGAGTCCTCAGTGATCATGAACTAATCAGGAGGAAAGAGGAAGAAGAAAGAAAAAAGGTCTATGAAAAAGCTAGGCGGGCAGCATGAAAAGAAACTTCCCGAAGTGTTTTTCAGCGGTTAGGAGGGGATTCCCAACCTAGAGCTTTATCAGAAGTATTTCGAAATCACGAAGCTTCTGAGAAGGCAGAAGACAAGGATGTTAAAGGTAGAAAAGAGAGGGAAATAAGGCATCCTCAATATGGCCATGTAGGGAGAGAAGATAAAAGGAATGAGAGGATAACAAATCTTGTCAAAAAGGGTAACCCTGCCCGTCTCGGGCGAAAATTGTATATGGTTGGGAAAAATGGACAACCCACCAAAGAAATAGGAGCCTCTATGATCAGAAGGGTCTAGAGGCAGCACAAAGCCTACATGAATTCCTTAAAGGCTCCTATGACATTTGAAGCCTCCAAAAATCAGAAGTTTGGAAAAACATCATCTGGGGGAAGTAGTCAGCTTAACTGAAGGAGTAAAAAAGAGGTACAAAAGGCTAATAGTAAAACAGAGGGTGAAGAAAACCATGTACCACAAAGCCTACACCCTGGGAAGTACAGGATATTGAGGAGAGCTCAAGAAGATATGATAATGATGCCAACTCCTGGATGGAGGACATAGCCTATTTGTTTTGGAAGTATTTTGCCTGAGAGGAAGCTCCCTTCTATATCATTGGATCATTTCGGCGAAGTTCCTAAGCAGATACCAGATTCGGGCATAAATCAATAGGAGGGGGCACCAGAACCACTACTTCCAGAAGATGCGATGACCTGGTTAGATGAGTTTATGGGCCAAATTGGGAGTAAGAAATAAGACTTTCTAGAGACTAGTAATTTTCATATCAATATGACGTATGTGTTATCCGCCATGTTTGGTGCTGAACCTGATCAGCCCGCCACTATGAAAGGTGACTATTTGACAGCAGAACCAATGATGGCCTATGTCAACGTTGAAGTAGCCGGAGAAAAAGAGTTGGAAAAAGCTGAATCATCCAAGACATTCAAGGATGGTCCATTAAGAATCTATACCGATAAAATGGTGTTCAGTCGCCCAAACATGTTGATGGCCAACCATCTAAAGCCAATATATGTTGCAGCTCATTTGGAAGGGGTGCCCTTCAAAAGAGTTTTGATTGATAGTAGCGCTGCTGCTAACGTATTGCCCGCCAAGCAAATGAAGAAGATAGGGAGAGGTGTAGAAGATCTCATTCCCACAGACCTCACTGTTTCGAGCTTTCCGGGCGCTATTACCAAAACTCATGGGATATTGCCTTTAGACGTAGACTTGGGATCTAAACAAATCATGCTGGCATTCTTTATGGTGGACTGTACTTCCACTTATGGAGCATTACTTGGAAAGGACTGGATCCACCAAAGTCTTGCCATACCATCCACTCTACATCAACAAGTTGCTGTTTACCATGAAGCAGGAAATGGGGGACCAGGCTTTTGGGAGATGGTGGAGGCCGAATCACGGCCATTTCTTCCTACAGCCAATGTAGCGGAGGCAAATTTGTACTATCCCAATGTAGGAATTCTGCAATGTTCAGGAGCAGATAAAAACGACCGCCCTACCAAGGTGACGGCTCAAAAGCTCTTAAAACAAGGAATGTTCCTCACTAGAGAAGAATGGGATAGACCCTGTATAGTCCCAACACCTCAACACCATTAATGACAGAACAAAAGAGAAAGGATCACGTAACGGCAGTCAGGTCCCTGATCAAAAGACTATTGGTGTATGGGAGAGAGAGAAAACAAGAAAGGGAGCTCTTAGGAAAAGAAGATCAGGAATAGCAGCTAGGAACTTTGACCGGCTAGGATAAAAGCAGGGAAGAACTTTGCGGAGAGGAATTTGAGTTGGCTATACGAATGGCCGAGTGCATATATGACTTAGATGGGCCAGACGACTTGCCCGAAAGCCCGAAGTTAGTCGAATTTTTGTGCGCAGAACCTGACAAGCCACCACCTGAAGTTCAGGATCCTTTGGAAGTTATTGATCTGGGAACGAAAGGAGATCCAAGACCTATACAAATCAGTGGCTTATTAGGAACTAATGATCGGGCAAAGATTGTTTGTCTTCTGCAAGAATTTAAAGATTATTTTGCTTGGCATTATACTGAAATGCCAGGTTTAGATTCAACCTTGGTAGAACACAGAATGCCCATCAGGGAGGGATATAAACCTGTTAAGCAAGCACCATGAAAGATGTCAAAAGAAATAGAAGAAAAGGTTAAAGAAGAAATTAAAAGACTAGTGAAAGCTGGATTTATTAGACCTGCCAAATATGTAGAGTGGTTGGCCAACATTGTACCTGTTTTAAAAGTTATAACAAAACAGTACGATGTTGCGTTGATTATAGAAATATTAATGGCGCCACACCAAAAGATGAATATCCCATGCCCATGGCTGATCTGTCCATAGATACGGTAGCAAAACATAAAGTCTTATCTTTTATGGATGGAAATGTCGGGTATAATCAGATAAGGATGGCCCAGGAAGATATACATAAAACAGCTTTTAGGTGTCCTGGTCATGTGGGGGCACATGAATATCTAGTCATGCTGTTCGGGCTCAAGAATGCTAGTGCAACCAACCAAAGAGCGATGAATGCTATTTTTCATGATTTGATTGGCCATAACATAGAGGTGTACATTGATGACATAGTGGTGAAATCCAAAACAGAATAGCAGCATCTGACAGACCTCAGGCAAGCATTGACAAGGATGAGGATCCATAAACTAAAGATGAATCCAAAGAAGTGCGCATTTGGAGTAAGAGCGGGCAACTTCTTGGGATTCCTGGTTCATCAAAGAGGTGTAGAGGTGGACAAGAACAAGTCTCGGGCAATAATAGAGTCGCTTTCACCCACCAACAAGGTGCAACTTCAGAGACTGCTAGGCAAAATCAATTTCCTAAGAAGATTCATTGCCAATTTAGTAGGCAAGATTTAGCCGTTGACTCCTCTGTTGAGACTAAAGGATAAAGGAAATTTCGAATGGGGACCACCACACCAAAAGGCTTTTGACAGCATCAAAGCCTATTTGACTTCTCCACCAGTGTTGGTACCACCTCAAAGGGGAAAACCCTTAAAGCTATATATCTCTGCTGCAGAGAAATCAATCGGGAGTTTATTAGCCCAAAACAATGAAGGCGGAAAGGAGCAGGCAGTAAACTACCTCAGTAGAATTCTGACTGAGGTAGAAACAAGATATTCCACAATAGAAAAGTTGTGCCTAGCTTTGTATTTCACTGCTAGTAAGTTAAGGCATTACATGTTACCTTGTCATGTGCACATCATCGCCAAAACAGATGTGATAAAATATATGTTGTCAAAACCGATGCTAACAGGAAGGATTGGGAAGTGGATTCTAGCATTATCAGAGTTTAGCTTTCAATATGTACCCCAAAGGGCAGTCAAGGGCCAAGCAATTGCTCATTTCTTAGCAGAGCACCAAGAGTCTCAAGATGAGATTGTCAATATACCAGGGATCCTAGAAGTAACTAATGTTTGGATCCCACCCAGCAAGGGTATCTTGGGCACAGAAGAACAAGAAATAAACAGGGTAACTGGTCTCTGGATTACTCCTTGGAAGCTTTATTTTGATGGTTCTTACACTCAGAAGGCTTCTGGAGCAAGGATTGTCATCATAAATCCCCAAGGGGTTCACCACTATTACTTGTTCCTTCTAGATTACCAAGGGGATACCAACAATCAGGCGGAATATGAAGCCTTAATAATTGGCTTGGAGATCTTGATAGAGCTAGGGGCAACGAAGATAGAAGTGTTTGGTGATTCAAAGTTAGTAATAAACCAGCTAAATGGAGAATACAAGTGCAGACATATCACCATGGCTGGGTATTACTTGGCGGCCACACAATTGTTGAGCTATTGGGATTCTAAAGTGTCAGTTAATCATGTTCCTAGGGAGTCTAATTTGGCGACTAACGAGATGGCACAAATAGCATCGGGAGTACCAATCCAGGAAAGAAAGTATGGAGTAGATGTCGAGATTCAAAGAAGAAATCTTCATTCTATGCTAGAAAGGGGATTCAGTCTAGATATAATGGTCCAAGAAACCAAGACGGAAGACTGGAGATTGCCTATCATTCATCATTTGAAAGATCTTTCTTCACCCACAAGTAAGAAGAATAGACAGCAAGCAACTAAATATGTCTTATGGAAGGAGAACCTACTAAGGAAAACTCTGGATGGGCTACTACTGAAATGTCTAGGCCAAGAGGAATCTATGAGAGTAATGGCCGAGGTACATGAAGGGATATGTGGGGCACATCAAGCTGGAACAAAGATGAGGTGGTTGATCAGGAGGTATGGGTATTTCTGGCCCTACGTAGAAAAAGACTGCAAGTCTTATGCCCGAGGCTGTGAGGAATGTCAAAGGCATGGACCCCTCCAACATGTGCCTTCAGTACCTTTAAATCTGGTAGTTAAACTTTGGCTCTTTAGAGGATGGGCAATGGACTTTATTGGGCAGATTTATCCATCTTCTAATAAGGGGCATATTTTCATAATTGTGGCGACGGATTACTTCACCAAATGGGTAGAAGCCTCAGCTGTAAAGACCATAACTTCAGCTACACTCAAGAAATTTATTGAGACCAAGATTCTGCACAGGTTTGGGGTGCTCGAAACCATAGTCACGGATCGTGGGCCATCTTTTATATCAAAAGAAGTTGAAGAATTTGCAAACAAATACAAAATAAAGATGATCCAATCCAGTCCTTACTACCCTCAATCAAATGGTCAAGCAGAGGCCAGCAACAAGACTTTGATAAACATTATCAAAATGATGGTGACAGATAGCCCGGAGAAGTGGCATGAAAAGCTAAGGAATACTTTGTGGGCATACTGAACCTCTAAAAGGGCAGGAACGGGGATAACTCCTTATGCTTTGACATCGGGCAAGATGCGGTTCTTCCTATGGAAATCAATGTAAGTTCTGTCAGGATTCAAAATCTATTTGTGTTACATAGTGAAGAGTACATGGAAGCTATGTGTCAAGGGATTGAAGATTTAGATGTAGCCCGAATTGAGGCCTTGAACTAGATTCAGGAAGGGAAGAGAGTTGTTGCCCGAGCTTATAACAAGAAGGTCAAACAGAAGTCTTTCAAGGAAGGAGATTTCGTATGGAAGGCAGTCCTCCCTCTAGGAGCTCAGCTTAGGGGCTTTGGGAAATGGAACCCGACATGGGAAGGTCCTTTATTGTTAGTTAAGTATTAGACAAGGGAGGATATTACTTGGCTGACCTCGAAGGAAATTGGCAGAAATATCCCATTAATGTCAAATTCTTAAAAATATATTGTCCTACATTATGGAATGTTAGGGATTGTTATATTGAAGAAGATGAAAGATAAAGCAGGCATTGGGGTGGTAGAATGCAGTGTATTTATCAACCATTCAAGAAGACAGAAAGATAAAAGTTTTTAAGATGATGCTTCATTCATTTCGACGAATTGGTAAAAATTACATCAGATTAAGTCCCAATGTGTCATGTTTCATTTCTTCTACGCTACAATGGTGTCTCGACTAGTTTTCTGGTATCTTCATGAATAAAACCTGGTCAGGTGATCGGGTTATGCGGCCAAGATGAGCTTGGTAGAAGACCCTCACTAAGGATCGTCACAAGATATGATGGTGAAGCCCGACTTATCAGAGCAACGAGCAGGAAGGCAAGCCCTCAGGAGAAAACCGCCTGACCAAAGGTATTGGGAATAGCGGGGTGTCTGACCAAAGGTGTTGAAGGTAGTAGTTATTGGATGAAAATCCTTTTTCTTGCGAAAATGGAGTTTCAGGAAACCCCACTTGAATCCCATGGAGCACATTGCCCTAGTTCTTAGAAGGAACTTAGATAGGAACGCCCGAGGAAAACGAAGGAAAAAGGTTGAAGATGATCTGTTGGCTGGGCAGGGGAAGTTTTGAGCCAGAATTTATAGAAACCTCAGAGGATAGCTCAAAGGTCATGGGAAGAGCAAAAGATGCAAGATTGCATTCATCATGTCTAGAAAACACAAGTTCCGAGAGCAGGTATATAGGCATGCGGATATTCAATTAATATTGGCGCCTAGAATTCCAGCCTGAATATTAATTGAAGGGGGCACTATTTAGAATAAAACTTGAACTTCGGGCCCAAAAGATAGTTAGCCCAACCAAAGGAATGGAAAGCAAGAAGTCCAAGGCCCAGCTGAGGCCTAGAAGAAAGAAGGGGCTTGTTTCTCGACCAAGTGCAGATCATTCAAACCATCTGCTCACCTACATAGAGCTCAAATGGTGTAGACCAGCCAGCTAATTAGCCCAAAAGTACTTTACAATGGCAGTACAAGTAAAAAGTTGATGAGTCACTACCCTTCACATGCATTTGGGCAAAATTAATACTGCAGGCAGCCAGGCCAAATTGTCTATAAAAGGAGGAAGAAAAATCAGAGACAAGGACACTCAATCAAACAAACAAATACAAGCACAAACTTTGCTCAAACCAGATTTGCCTCCACGAAGCTGTAGTCAGCCCCCAAGCCTTCATCCTTTTCGGGATCAACCTTCACCAGAAAGCCTTTGTAAAAGCTCTGCTACCTTGTTTAAATCTCATTACAGTATTGATTCCCTCATATAAACTCATCTCCCAATCTCCCCTTCTAGCATTCAAACCTTTTGTAAATCACAAAAAAAGGAAGTTGCAAGACGATTAGCCTTGCCCGACAAGGTGAAACCTTGCCTGACCTCCTTTGTTTTTGTCTTTCATTCATGAATCTAGTAATATGATATATATTTCCATTTGCATCCAAGTTGTTTCTAGCCAGTTTATGATTAAAAGACTTCTAAGTTCTAACCATTCGGGCAGACGAGATTGATCAATTAAAAGTCCTTAGTCTCAAGGCATAAAAAAGAGCCTTATGTGGACTTAACCTATCCACGACAGTCCTTGCTAACAAGAAATCTGAAGTTACTTGGGGCGCAAGTAATTAGCTTATTTTCTAGTTTTACTTCTGTTATATTAGGATTGCTACATAACGCTTGAGTATAGAATTAACTCTGATAGGAAGCTTCAAGGCCTATACCTATGGCCCGACAAAGGCACCTATCTGAATTCATTCTGCTCTGCGTGCTCGGGCAATTAAAGTATAACGATTGTGATACTTCTGCAACAATGAAACAACCAATATATGTTCAAGTATTTGGTTAGTTTTGATTGGAAGTCTCAAGGCCTAAACCAAAGGCCCCACAAAGGCACCTTTCATTACTAAACTAAGGCATATTTACCCAATCTAAACCTCTGTTTTACATCTGTCATGCTAAAGATGGCAGTGGCATGCCTGAACACCTAAAGTTTAATTTTGATTGTGAGCCTCAAGGCCTACACCTAAGGCCCCACAAAGGCACCTTTCATGATTAACTCTGTCCCTTCTCTTACAACCCGACAATAAGCAGAAGCACGACAGACAACATCAACCGGCGCCAACCTCTTGGGGAGCTATGTGCTCGTTGGCCAGGAAACGTCCTCACTGGATATTCCTCAAGACGAACACATTCTAGGTGGAAAAAAAAAACAATGTTAGCACATGAATAAATTCCTCAAACAAATTCAAGCCCATAATAATAACTAAACGCAAATCAGCAAAGGTAGCCCATGCCCTGTTTGTCTATATGTCTTTCCAACGAATGAGCCTCATATGCTTGAAAGTGCAAGTGTAGTTGCCAATACTAATGAGAACGCAATTGAACTCCCAAGAACCTGACCAAAAAAGGAACATTAACCTCATGCTATTGTTAGACATGTGTTCGTGTGTGTGTCAATTCGTCAGAGAGAGAGAGAGAGAGAGTAATGAAGGCAATTAAAGTATGAAGTTATCACCTCTTCCTTGCTTTTGTTGAACCAAATGCACTTATATGATTCTAATAAATTCTTATTAGCATTACACATGATACAGAACACTTGAATAAAAAGGAGTGGAAATATGCTTGCAATCAATAAAATTATAGCTTCTCAAAATTTTCTCAATATAGGGCAACTGATCAAGAAACATACCATCACATGTTTTTGTAATTTTCATGTCCCAAAATAAAATTAGCCTCACCAAGATATTTTATGTCAAAATGGCTCTTAAACATATTTTTTGTTTCATTAATCACAAATATATTTGAGCCAAAAATTTATCAATCATCAACATAAAGGCTAATAGTAACATGTGAATCATTCTTTGTTTTATAATATATGCACTTGTCACTGTCATGACTTTTATAACCATTGTTAATCATGCAAGAATCAAAATTTTCATTCCACTATTTAGGTATTTTAAACCATAAAGAGATTTAATTAACTTACATACTTTGTTCTCTTGGCCAGGTTCAACAAAACCTTTGGTTGGTCCCATATATATTTCTTCATCTAATCTCCATTCAGAAAAGTTGTTTTTACATCCATTTGATGAATAATCAAATCATGAAAAGAAGCAATAGCAATCAACAATCTAATGGATGTTACTCTAGCAACTGGAGAAAAAGTATCAAGGAAATCTAGATCAGTTTTTTGTTCAAGTCTGGCTTTAAATTTATTTATACTTTCATCTAGTTTGAGTTTCTTTCTAAGGACCCTTTTGCACCCTATAGTTTTACAACTTGGTGGTAAATCTGCCAAAATCCAAGTGTTATTAGAAATTAGTGATTCTATTTCATCATTAACATCTTTTCCAGAAAAAAAAATAGCATCAGGTGAGAGTAAAAAATCTTTCAAAGTAAGTGATTTTCCTCAACATTATACACAAAATAATCTGGGCCAAAATCTTTTTGAATTCTAGCTCTTTTACCCCTCTTTGGTTTGTTGGAAATGTTCCATAAAACCAATCATATGATGATACTTTATGGACATTTCACATGTTAAGCTAATCTAGTTTAATATAAAGGGCAAAGATTATTGTTTAAAGTCGTCTCATATAAATGTTATATGCGTAAACAATGAGTCCAAGGAATATGTAATTGGGAGAATGTGATCTAAAGAAGTTAGATTCATGAGACCATTTTCTTTCGTATACATATCCTAAATGTTCCTGATCATAGGATTGCCAATTGGGCATTGACAGTCCGTTAAGATCAGTACATGTTATGTCTTCTCTTAGAGAGAGTGACTGGTCTTAAGACATTGGTGTGACTAATTCCAAAACAAGCATATAGGTGCTCAATAGAGAATAAGTCCACTGAATGCGATGAACGAGAAGTTCTCATACTCATGTCACATGAGAACTCATGGTTGAGATAATGCAAAGTAGTTCTTTGACCTGAGGCATCATAGTTGTCTTGTGGTTAGGTCCTTAATCTTTGACTATATCAAAGTCACTCCATCAAAGGGTGTCCACGACATAGTTGGGGTTAAGCCACTTAGCCATGGAGGCATGTGAATGCACAACAAGGGATCACTAACCTCCAAACCGCTTGAGGGAGAATACTCTATGATATGATTAAGAATCTCTAGCCAACATATGAATGAGATTTAGGAATTCTTTCCAAATCACATTCAAGGTAATCATATAAGTAAGAGAATCACATCGGATAGTAGACATGAATAAACTATTAAACCAAACAATGTGGTCAAGAGTATTGTATTAGAGAAAGACCGTATTGCATTGTAATCCCAAATTGAATAGGTTATCCACCTCTTCTAATTAGCTTGGGTAACCACGACATATTATTAGGTGTCACTCGTGGTTTATGGAAGCCCTAAAGGTGTATAATCACTAAAGGGAGAATTGAAAGTATGTTTCAATTCACAAACGATTTGAAGAGTTCTAATCGTCCACTGCCTCGCTAAAAGGAACCTAAGGGATCGTACACCGTGTAAGGTAGAGATTGAAGAAACAATGCAGATGAGTAAAGATAATTAAATAGTTTAATTATTTATGGCTATGATTAATTAATATGTTAAATAATCAAACGAATATGTTCGTTTTAGCTTTTGAGTAATTATTGGACCTCAAGGTCTATTGGGCTTAGAACCGTTAAGCCCATTAACTTAAGTTGTATGACAACTTAATGACTAAAGACTCAAAAGGGCCCAACCA